AAGGTGCAAATTTCCAATGATGAATGTCATTATATTGCATACATAAAATGTATCAACAACATTAATTTAAAAAGAAAAATCAAAAGAAAACATATAATAGAAATTATAATACAATAATGTAATAAAAATGATTTTGTCTTAGTTACTTTTTCATTGCTGGGACATAGTACCATACACCCACAAGTTAAAGTAGGAGAGGTTTATTTTATCTCACAGTTTGTACAGGTTTCAGTCCATACTCAGCTGGCTTCAAAGCAGGGTAGCATGACAGAGGGCCATCACAGAGGAGAAATGGTCCATGGTAGAGCAGGCAGGAGGCAGCAGGCAGCAGGCAACAGCAAGTGTCCCTTTCCCTTTTATTCCATCCAAGCTACTAGAGCTTCTTGGGTGGTGCCACCTACCCCTAGAGTATGCCTTCCCATTAGCCACTCCCAGAACAATGCTAAACCAATCAGAGGACTAATCCAATCATCACACCCTTAATCCATATTCACACACACTAGATCCACCCACCTTCGAAAAATCCCCCATGAGTGTATGAGGCTTTAGGGGGATATTTAGATACAAGCCATAATAGATTTCATTTTTTATTTCTTTTCTTTTTTTCTTTCTTGCTTTTTTTTTTTTTTTGATGGTAATACTGGTAATTGAATCCAGGCACACTAGGAAATTGCTCTACCACTAAGCCTCCAACCCCTGATTTCACTTTTTCTTCCTCCTAAGCCTCAACCTCCCCATGGCCAGAGGTGAAAATAAGAAGACAGGAATGAGAGGTCCCAAGACAGACTTGAGGCTGAGCCACTTGAGGTAGGTCAGACTTCACTGAGGCTGGAAGAATAGGTAGCAAAGAGGTCAGCAGTGTGTGGACACAGAGTGAGTGAAGATGAAAGGTGATGAAATCTCTAGAGCCAACATAAAGCTTGCCAGCCTGTCTGGGAAAAATGGCAGCTGTCAAACATGCCACTCATCCCACATTGGGACCTGTCATGTTCCCTATCCTGAACTCACTCATCACCCTCTGACTTGCTTTTTTCTCCTCTCCAACCCCATTCTCACCTGCACCACATCAATGGCACTTTCTCATGGGTCTGTCCACCAGGATATAAGCCTCTTGAAGGTCTTAAGTGGTAAAAGGATTTGTATTTTCAGTACCAAATGAGTAACACTTCATATCCTCAAAATATGTTGAATAAAGGACTGTGGAGACTATTATTAAGTTGTCATTATCTGAATCGTACTCTCACATGAAGGGAGGTAATAGCCAAGCCCTTGGAATGTCATGCCCAATAGAGATGACCTTCTGTATCTGGGGACCTTTGGCAGCCAGTAATAGCGTAGTATAGAGTAGGTGGTGCTGGGTCACAGTGTGATGCAGAGTGAGCTTCAGGTCATGCAGGATCAGCTCCACCTCAGACAGGCTGGGGATAAGGTCAGTACAGGAGTGGTCAGCCATGCCAGTGGACAGACCCTGATAAAGACTGGACAATGAGGTCAGGCCAGCTTCCCAGCTGGCCATATTCTAGGTCAAACAGGGAAACTGAAGAGCTGTCCCAACTTCAGGGAGGGAACATGGGAGCTCATGCTAGACTTTGTCTGGACTCTGTTCTACATAGTTGTCCATGGCTGATTCTCATCTGTGTCTTCGCCCCATAATAAACAGTAGCTGTGAGTAGTACTGATGTCTGGGGGTTCTGTGGGACTTCTTAGAGCAATGGTGGTAAACCTATGGCATGTGTGCCACAGTGAGCACACAGAGCCCTCTCTATTGGCACAAGAGTCAAGTTGCCCCAGCAGCTTAGCATTGGATAACAGATGTTTTTTTCTCAGGTTTAACTGCAGTGTTGGCATTTTGCAATAAATAAGTTTTGGTTTGGAGCTTGAGTACTCTAAAAGGTCTGCCATCACTGTTCTAGAAGTTACTGACCCTGAGAGTGGTCTTGGGAAGCCCATACTAGCAACTGGTGTCAGAGCAGGGTATCCCTCTAGACCCCCAACCGGTCATGTTGCAGTCAAGTGACAGATGAGTGTAAGTCAGAGAGTTACTCTGTCTCTGGAAATAACCACCCTTCTGGGTATCAGACATAAAAGAAATGCTGAAAAGGAAAAACACCTAGAATTAAATTTGCATGTTGGTTTAAAGCAATGATTCAGTTTTCATTTAAAGTAAGAAACAGGTGTGTATATAAAATAAAATCTGCACAGAATCACAAAAATTGAAGCAAACTCCATGCCCTAAGAAGGTGGAGGAAACAGCATGGGTGGCTGAAAATAGATTTTTTCAGGGATAATAAGACTTAATAAGACAAGATGTATAAAGAGAGAAGCTCAAATACTTTAAAAGAAATGACATAAAAACAATTCAATGTCTTTCAGAAGCAGAGAAGAGAAATCAATGTACTAAGGGAAAAAACTTTTAAAAATGGAAAATATTTGGTGACAAATGTTTATGTTGTCAATTGAGCAAGGACATAATTTTGAAAGTTCTTTAAAGTAAAATATGGAATTGCAAATGTTGTTAGGATCTGCCAAGGTTTTCAGTGCATTGAAATAAAGATTTAAATCCATTTTTTCCCTTTTTTATTGTTGTTGCATTTATGTAACTGCCCTCCCTGAAGACTCAAATTGGTTACCTGCCCTTCTGGGTATCAGTGTGTGAGACAACGTGGTTGCCAGCTGCCCCTCACCTGTAACTGGAGGTTGGGTTTCATCTTCTCATTCTGAGGAATGGTTTGGGAGATAGCTTAGCTCTGCTCACTAAATTTTCTCAGCACATCGGGTCCTTGGCTCTGGGGTTTGCTGATGTGAACTGAAATACAATTTCCCCTTTTTAGAATTAAAAACAACATAGCAAAACTTCAAGGGGCTTCCCCCCTCCCCTGCTGATCCTCTTTTCTCAAGCACATTTTGGGCTACCTTGAATCCAATTCTATTACTGGGTCCAAATTTTTTCTCATTGAGAAAATGCAGAACTTGTCTGGTCTGCGGCATGAAAGTCTTTTTCTTTAGAGAAAAGAGTGTAGCAAGGTCTCCTCCTTGCTTGGCGCTCCTCTCACTTTGCCCTAGCTCGGTGGTCAGGTCACGGTGCTCCCCAACTGCTCAGTCACCAGCCCAATGGTGGACACAGCTATGGGCACCCTTCTGGCCCTAGAGTGTGGGCTGGGCCTGCTGGGCAATGCCATCGCCTTGTGGACATTCTTCTTCCACCTCAAGATGTAGAAGCCTTACGCAGTCTACCTGTTCAGCCTGGTGGTGGCCGACCTGCTGCTGACTGCCTGCCTGCTGTTCTATGCTGCCTCTACCTGAGGCACAAGGCCTGGGGTCTGGGCCTCAAGTCCTGTCAGACCCTGCTTTTCCTGCTGACCCTCAGCCATGGAGTGGGGGTGGCCTTCCTGGCTGCAGTGGCCTCAGACCATTGCCTGCGTGCGGTTCACCTTCGGCTGAAAGTCAACCTTCTGCCCTCAAGGGCAGCCTGGGGCATCTCAGTCCTCGTCTGACTTCTCTTGGGCACCCTCACCTTGCTCATCTCCAAGACAGCCTGGAACGCCACTGAGTGTCCCAGCTTCTACCCCACGGTCAAGGCCTCTGGCATCACCTGGCAGGAGATGCTCTTCCTCCTTCAGCTGCTTCTTCCCTTTGGCCTCATCATGTTCTGCAACTCAGGTGTCCTCAGGACACTCCAGAGCCAACTGAGAGAGCCTGACAGGCAGCCCCAGCTGCAGAGGGCCAGGGTGCTGGTCACTGTGGTGCTGCTGCTGTTCTTGCTGTGCTTCCTGCCCAGCATGCTGGCTGGCATCCTGGTGAACATCCTCAGAGGTTCAGGCAGCTGTGATGTCCTGCATGTGGTGGTGCACGTGGCCGACATTGCAGGCAGCTTCACCTACCTGCACAGTGTGCTGAGCCCAGTGTTCTACTGCTTCTCCAGCTGGGCCTTCAGCTGCTCCTACCACAAGGTGCTGGACAGACTGCGGGGCTGGAGCAGGGCAGCCAGGCCCCCCAGCTTTGACAAGGACTCCTACTCCTGACTCAGTGGCTGCCTCTGCTCCTGCTCATGCATGCCTGCCTGGGGTTTAAACAATGACCGCTATGTTTTTAGGATTGCAGAGGAAGTGGGATCATGGACTGTACTGTAGCTCCTGCAGATGCTGTGATGTACACTCCCAGGATGTTTCTCTGCTATTTTACACAGTGAGTGGCAAGCCAGTTAACAACCAGACTCTACTTTGCAGTTATATTTCAGGGAAGTTGTCAAATGAGGAGCCGTACTTGGAGAAGCAGAACTGGCTGCCTCAGTAAAAAAGAGAGGAAGGCTGAAAGCTGGTATTTCCCAATGCCATTAGGCCTCAGCAAGTCATTTTCACTTTCTTTCTTCATAATTTTTAAATTATTTATATATATTTTATTGGTATATGTTTGTGATAGATAATAATCACAATCATCTTGGGGATTTGGCATATGTACATATTGTGTCTTGATTATTTTTACTTTTTATGCTTCTGTTTGCCACTGCAAATAACTGTGCTCTCTGATCACCTACTGCATAGACTGTGATAGCTCATGTCAGAAGTACTTAGGTTGTAAAGAGATTTGAACTTACCTAACTTATTATAGTTTGTGCTCATCTCATTTTGTATGTAATATTTCTGTTTTTATAAAATTTTACTTCATTTTTATAGTTTATCCATTATGTCAAAGACAATGCAGTTAGTTCCCTAGTTTAATATGAGAAGCATTTTCCTGTTAAATGTCTCAAAATTGCCTCTTAAGTTTGAATTGCCTCAAGTTTGAATTTCTAAATGCATTTGAAACTGGCTTCCCCTGCACCGAAGAAAAGTCTCCCAAGAGAAATATACAATGTAAGATATGGAACTGCATTTAAAATGATCATCTCCAACCTGATCCTGAGCATAACTTACAGAGGACACAGGGGAATCACCAGGCTAGCAGACCTACCCCAAGTGAGAGGAGGGAATGGTATCTGGCCCCTGTTGGGAGCAATGCTACATAATTCTAGGGAAAAATCATTTGGTTAGCCTAGTTCTCTTGCCTACAGCCCAGCTACAGAATAACTCCAGTTTGGCCTCCGGTCACAACTGAGACTTCAGTGATCCAGTAATGCTGTGATTCTCCAG